TTAAGTCAATGTTCAGTTGTAAACTTTTGAAAAAACAATCATAACGTTTTGTTCAGAGTTACGAACATCCTCCATTCCCAAGGTGTTTGTAACTCTGAGATTCTACTGTACTTTCTATGAGGAGATGAGCACTCTGAAGTGTCATTGACCTCAATGGAAATTGAGGGGTTTAGTACCTCAGGCCTGAACGAACTAATGCTAACAAAATCTAAAAAGGCAAGTTATAAAAGGTTTCTTTTAGTGAAATTTTAAAATTTTCATCATGTTTCTGTTATAATCTCATTATTCCATTTATTTTTTAAAAAAATGTTTTGTCAGTTTAAATACTATAGCTGAAGGATTGAGGCTATGAAGGAGCAGTTGAATGACACAATGGTGGGAAAGGGACACAATGAGCAAAATCATCGAAATGTAAGGCTGGAAGGGACCTTAATAGGTCATCTACTCCATCTAGTCCAAGAGCTAATGTGCCAGTGGTTTCCTGTACATGGTATATGCATGTGGGAGTGTTAACTCTAAACCAAAGGATAAGATTTATACATTATTAAATAGGATACCATCATTTCTTTTAATTCAAGTAATTAGCATGCATTATTATAAAACACATCTTCTGTTACCAGCATTTAACAGCCTTTACAGTTATCTACTCTGGCCTAGCAGGCAAACACCATATAAGTGAATTAAGGAAGAACAGAATAAAGAGAAGATGCAATTCCTATTTAAAATACAAGTGTTTTCAGTGTTTAAGCTTTCATGTTCACTTCATGGAAGGCAGGCTCAGTTTAAGCAGGGTCTGAAATCCAATCTGTTAATTCCCAATCTCAAGGAAACTGGAAAGGGGAAACAAACCTTAGCTATACTATATTGTCAGACAGGTCCTTGTCATACTGTTAAATAAAGATTTCCATTATGGTTTAATATTGTTTGTTACACATTTTGCTCTCTTTTTATATCACATGTAAATACACTCTGCTGAATACCAAAAAAAACCAGATTTGATGCCTGATCCTATAATCCTTACTCCTGAGAGTAATTCACTGAGGAAAGTAGTCCTGTTTCTTTCAGTGAAACAACTCACTTGAGAGAAGATTATTCATGTGAAGGATTGGGTTTGTTGTATTTTTGTTTTCTTTTTTATTTCAAAGAGAAAAAATATTTTCTGTGACAAATATTCCAGGCTGACAAATATTAATTTTGGGTAAATTGCACATGAGGATTGTGTTCTGCTAGGTTTGTTTTTTATTGGTGGGGTTGTAACTTGCTTTAAAAATAGCAGCATAAATCCTTACAGAAACAAAATAAGGGAAGTATTCTTAATTTGTCCATTAAAAAAGTTGTGGATCCAGAATGGAAGAGGAATTTAGTGCAGAGGGATAACTGCATTAAATACTCATTAGCATTTTCTTTTTATTGTCCCATAATCATTAACTCATCTACTGTAGTTACAGTATAATTGTATTTATAATGAACACAAAGGTATTAATGTGGCCATAATGTAATTATGCCATGACCAAGCAATAATACTAGTACCATTAAACCAAAGTGCTATATAAGTTCTCAGACATGAACTACGGTTACATCTACATATATGGTGGACTATAGAATACAGACACTACCCTCCCAGCTAGCATGGCTGTAAATACCAGTGTGAACTGTGAGGTATGGGTTAAGCAAGCAGAGTAGATACCCTACACAGCCCACATATCACATGTAAATGCCACTAAATGCCAAATAAATACTTCTCATGTCTACACTACTATTTTTAGCAGTGTAATGTCCCACTGTCTCCCCCGCCAAAGCCTTTCCCCCCTGCCCAACCTTTCACTACGGCGTATAACTACACACTGCAGTGACAAGTGTGGATGCAGTCTGCCTTTCACATGTAGTTCCTGAACTCTACACACCACCCTAAGTATAGACATAGCCTATCTTCTTACTTCACAAGTTTCACACACAATGGTATCTAGATGCCCCTGGAAGTGGGTGACATCTAAAAGTGGGCAGGCAAAAGTGACAAGTAGAGGTACACTCAGCCAGCTTACAGGAGCAGGTGAACTTTAGCCTGTGGGTAAAATTTTCAAAAGTGCTTAAGTGACTTAGAAGCCTAAGTCCCATTTTTTAAAGTGACTTGGGCAGGGAGGGCCAGATTTACAAAGGTATTCTGGTGTCTAAAGATGCAGATAGGCACCTAGTAGAATTTATGAAAACACCTAAGTGACTTAGTGCCTAACTCCCATTGAATTTCTTAAGTCACTTAGGTGCTTTTGAAAATGTTACCATAGTATCTGATGTAAATCAGTGAAAAGTTAGATCCAGGATGGCAGAGCAGAACAAACAGCCAGTTAAGAGCTATATTCTATAACTTCAGGCATCTCCACAGCAGAAATTAAGGCCAGCAGAGCAGCTCTCCACTATGCACAGAAAGGTAGTTCTGGTCTGCAGAGGATTTCAGTATTTCAGAGTTTGATTTTGTCCACAAAAGGGAAAGCCTTGAGGTCCCTGCTCTGAGGTGGGCTGCCACAGACTCCAGTCCAGAAGCCAAGCCATCAGTAAACATTTTCACCATATAAGACCCTAACCCATGTCCCATTGAAGTCAGTGGAATTTCTTCCACTGGGCTCTAATTGAAGAGCCATAAATCCAGATAACATTGTTGCTGAACCAAACTAATCTAGAAATTTCATCCAAATCCTTTAGCCAGTTACTTTGTATGCAAGGCGACAGTTGATGGCAGTGTCCAGGGAAACAACCCATGTCATAAATGGAACAGATGGGACAGAAGGAAAAGTTATCCCCAGCAACATCAGGAGATGATGCCAAATGGCCAGTGAAATTAAATGTCAGTTAAGCATCTCTCTACCTGCAAGTCTACTATATGTAAGAAAGTTTCTAAAGGGTCCAAAAGAAAAGCCTAATACATGTATTTATGTATATGTGAAAAATCCATAGCTTGAAGGGTTAAAACAAGCTGGTGAAGAATTACTATAACCCAGTAGAACGCACCATGAAACAGATTCTAGTGCAACCAAACTATAATGTACTTTATTTTTGAAGCACACTAACTATGGATCAAGCCTACTTCCATTGAAGTCAATGGCAAATTTTCCAATGACATTAATAGAGCAGGATCTAGCCCTAATACTGCAGTTTGATATCTAATCCATATCACAGTTAGATTTTTTTGGCACAATTCTACCTGGAATGCAGAAGCGTGATATGAAAGGGGTGTTTTGTTTGCACACTTGGAATGGAAAACTGACTTGGAATGAATTGTATAACAGAGAAGCCAGCAGTGGGGAATTTGTGACACAAAATTTTGGAAGGAAAACTTACAGTTTATCAAAAAGAGAAGGTTAAGAATGGTTTAAGATTTGTGATTTAAGACTAAAAATAAAGGAAGAAATCAAAAGTGCAAGCTAGCTAAAAAGCACCAGTTTTATACAAGGCTACTTTAAAAGTACAGCTGTAAAATTATAGTTACTCGTTTTCCACTGTTAAAAATGTGTTTTTAATGGGAACAACAGTGACTTGTGAAACTTGATACTGTGAAATGTAATAGAGGACAAAAATTAAACTAGAAATGTGAATTGTAAAACCCCATACATTATGTGCAAAAATGCACAGCTATGGCCTTTGGTTGATTAACATTAACTTTTGCACAAACTGATTAAAAAGTAATCGTTTTAGTGCCCTAAAAATATTGTAGCATTAAAAGGAAGTTTCATAGGCAATAAAACATAAATTCCTTTCTTTAGCACATTAAACTTCCTTTGCACAGTCCATATTGTAGCCCAATCTTTCATTTCTTGTAGACTCAGAACTCCTTCTGAATTAATTAAGGCTTTTCAGGCTCCTATTCAGCAATGCACTTCAATATGTGCTTAACTTTAATCACGTGCTTAAGTCCATTCCAATTTAGCAAAGCCCTTAAGTATGCACTTGACTTCAATGGGACTTAAGAATCTTCTTAGGGTTAAGCATATCCTTTAGTGTTTTGCTGAACTGGGACCTCAAGGAATGAAGGACTGAGAATGTGAGGGAGTAAATATTAGATTAGGTTAAAAAGCTAAGATTCCCATTGACTTCATTTGGCTAAAAAGACTCTCACTTACTTCTACTGATTTTGGATCAGGTCCTAAACCCCCAGTTGTGCAAGAGCAGAGCCATGTACCCCTGGTGGAGTAGAGATAGCACAATCCATTTGCTCCAATGAGAAGAGGAGTTGCAATTTTGTCTGGCTACTACGTGGGTCTAGCACAAATGTATGTTGCAGGGGGGGACATAATGACAGACTGGATCTTGGCCTATATAAAATCAATAATTTGGGTATTTTCAAATTACTAAAATAAGCAAATATACAAAAGATTAAGATTTCAGAATGAATGCAAAATGGTGCCTTTTGGGAGCAGCTCAACCAGATAGAAATTCTATGTGTATTACCAATACAATTCTGCCATACGTGAGTTAATGTAGTACCTGTGAAAGGTGCCTGTAGTAGTGAAATTTTGCACATGCTACCCTACCAATGTACGTCAACCATGGGATGGAGGGATGGGAGAGTAATTTAGACTCTCATTCAGTCTTTGACCTCTCTCCTGAGACTGTCAAGAAGGGTACCGATTAACACAAAGTGGGACGATGGCTTTTTTGACAAAAATATTATTCCAACAGGAAATAAGAAACCATCATCTCTATTTGTGAAGAAGTTTAGTCATCATTTATCATGGCTAGCATGGAATCAATGACCTAGAAGTAGGAGGATCTACCACATTATTAATTCTCTGACCTAACTACCCCTCCTCCCTCCCCGGGACTATATCTCCCCAATTGTGCTGTGGATGAGAATCTGTACTTGTCAGAAAGAAAATATTTTCTCTCATTAACCAGTGGTGCCATTTTAACCTGGAAAGAAGCAGCCCAAGCATTAAAAAATGTTGCTGTCAGATATCAGTGATCTCCAAAAGGGACATTGCATAACATGAAAAATGAAAACTTCTTACCCTAATAAAAAGGATCTTCTCTCCAACTCTGTACCGTCCTTGTGAAAGACGCTCCACACAGAATTTATTGGGGCATTTACAAGGAGGATCTTCAGAAATGTGTTTGACCTGAAAAACAAGTTATTTTTGTATCTCTTTCATAGAGTGTATCTGCAGCAAACTGTTCAAAAGGGCAGTTAACATAATGTCATGCCTTTGATTTATTCTCTGTCATCATGACAAATGACTTCTTCCTAACACCTCTTCAGGCTTTTAATTAAGGCACTATTGCTGAAATTGTCTTACTTCTTTTTTCTCTCAACTCTAATGTTTTTAATAGTATGGCACTGAGTGACTTTTTAAGACACTGATTTCAATACCATCATTGCTACTAATGGGCAAAATCATGAAATCTATACTACATTTCTATGTGGTCCATAGGGAACAATCCCAGTGCATTCAATGGGTTTTTTGCTGAATTAAGAATGAGTAAAAACTGAATGAAGCCTTCAGGATTTGGCACGTTTGATACATGTAAAGCCTTGAATCAAATAGTAATAAACCTCATATAGCATTCAGATATTAGCAACACAGGCTCTCCTCTTACGTTAAGCCATGTGAAAGGGGGGGAAAAATCAGTGATCACAGATTTTTCAGGGCCACTTTTTTCTCTTGCTCTGCAGAGTTTCTGGCATAGCTTGGGGACTCACAAGAAAGACCCTATAGATCTTAAAATATCTGCAGAAGGATCCTTTGCATCAGTAATGACAATATAGATGATGTGTCCTTCCTCTGGGTCATGGGCAGAGTTCAGATGGGCCCAAGGACTGGGCCATAATTTCTTCTTGAAATCTACGTGTATTTTCAATTACATAAAATGGTAACATTAAACAAACCTATATTCTTACTTATTAAAAATATTAAAATGAAAAATAAATACAACAGCAGTTTTTTAAAGCATCTGTGAAATCCAAGGTTGTGAGGATTCTCAAGTCAAAAGGGAATTCCCAGGTGTGGAAAAATAAAGTAGAAGCCAGTGATGCTCTCAGACACTCAGTTTGCCATGGAATTGCACTATATAACTGAGTGATGAACTTAGCCCAAAGTTTGTCAATCTGAGCTTGATGATATGTGAATGGAATTGAACTCTACTGATTTTTGGTGGGTAGATTTACAATTTAGTCCACCTACAATTCTCAGATGAAAAGTAAAGGAAGTCCAGGTATTGGAGTCCTGACTATATCTGATACACAAAAAGGAGGCTGTCCAGTAATTTCTCCAGCAGGACTTCTCTACTAATAAAATTAACATTACTTTAGCTTAGAGATAGAGGACCTGATTTCCTACTATCTTCACCTTGCATAGCCATTTACACCTGGGTAAAACACTATGCCCTGATCATGAGCCAGGACCCAAGCTAAACTCAGTGCCATTCAGAAGAGCTGCAGGGAGAAAGGTGCCATTTATGTTCCCCCTATCCTCAGCTCTGAGATGTTCACCAGTGCAGGGACATGGCTGAGGTAGATGATGTGCTGCTGTTCTCTCATGATTGCCTGCTGTTGCATTAGCCAATTGGGGGCTGTTATAGCCAGGTGTAATTTAGAGTTGCCTTGAGGCTTCTCTAAGTTACTGGTGTAAAAAATGGACCCCAAAGCCCGGGGATCAGGGATGAACAAGGGCTGTTGAAAGCTACTTTTGTCCCACTCCTCATTTACATCAGCCAAACTTCAGCTCCAACTGAGAATTCAGCTTTGAATGTGAAACCAGTGACATTAATATTTAGTAGATGTATATTCTGAACTTTTAGGTGATCTTAAAGTAGCACAACCATCAATGTCAAAGAGCAGATCTGGTTGAGTGAACTCTAATTTGACATTCAAATAGCACTTCCGCTAAGAAACAACACTGACAAGTGCATGAAGGCAATCATTTCCACATACTGTCCTTCTCTTGGATGAAAGCTGACCTAATGTATTGATGTCAAATGAAACAAAATGCAGGAGGCACTTTCCAAAGGTTTTGTCCACTTCACGTAACACTCAACAGACCTTTTCAGATCCAGTTTGTAAACTAAGGCCCCATAAAAAGAGACTGAGAACAGAAAGAAAGCTGTTAGAAAAGCTTACTGATGAAAGTTTGAGTAACACTGTCTTAGACAGGAAAAACGCCAGGGTCGTGTACTGGGGCTCTGTTAGGTATTTTGGTTGTCTGACAAAAATACAGGAACAGATCTGTTATACAGAGTAGGAGGTTTTAGGATTTAGGCTTTATACTTGAGGGAAATTTTTAACATGTCAAAGGAATGTTCTTTTTGTTGGAGGTAACTGGGGATATGGATAGATGTAAAAAGCGAACAAGTTAACTAACATCATTTTTTCTGTAATTGATCTTCTCAGCTGATGGGCAGGAAGAGGATCTTTTAAAATTGACTTACGCTCTATCACCTAATTTGAGGGCTTTCCATCTTATTGCTAAAATGATCCAGTGTTACCATCTATTCTTTTCGGGAATAATTGCTGAGAATGATTCCTCCCTCTCTCAAAAATGTGCAGTAATATTGTCATGAAACTTACTTCATAGCTTGAAATTATACTTGGCACTAAACACATTGAAAATGGTCATTGGGATTGATTTTCTTGTCACTTAATTGTTTTAACACCAGAATAATTCCAGTGACTCCAATGGAAATTCTCCTCTCATTCACACTGGCATAGATCAAGAGTATTAGGTCAGGGATGTTGAATATCAAACCAATCTTAAGATATTCTGGACCTCTACCATCTGCATAAATCAGGAGTAACTCTACTGAAGTCAATGGGTCATATCGAATGTAGGTTGCAGGTGGTGCAAGAGGTATATATGGACTTATATGTCCTCTGAACTTGGGACTGTGTACCAGAGTGATCCTCTAAATGCTCCCCAAATCAGTTTCCCCTTGGCCCCCAGGGTCTAACAGGAAGGGATCGCCAGTATGTAGATACATGCCAACCATGCCCTCTGGTGACACTCCTTATACTAGAAGCCAGCAGAAGGTGGTGTAGGATCTGTTATGATAACTCTATGCTGCCAAGGATTCACCTGAGCAGGGGGAGGCCTCCAGTAGCTAGGTCTGCTACCTTTAGGGTTGCTTTGTTCTGGGTAAGTAGCATAGAGCAGCTCAGTATTGGGGAGAATCAAAGCCAATCAATTTATACCAGTGTAAAAACTGATACAAACCAGAGGATAATTGAGCCCTTACTGCTGCGTTTGCCATTGCTGCCTCCACAACCTCACTGGCCTGATGGGCATAGAAGTATTATTGACTGGAATTTAAAAATCAAATATGGAAGTGGAGGGCAAAATGAAACCCTGTTTTATTTTTTTGTCTCTGGATTGTATGAGCGCTGCCATTAGTTTATAGTGTGAGAGTCTGGGGGCAGTGAGGATCAGGAGTTTAACTGAATAAATTCAACCCTTTCTATTCCTACTGCTTTTTAAATTAAAGAAGATGGCTGGAAACAGCCTTCATACTCTCTTCTCTGTTCCCCTGAGATATACAGTCACCTCTTCCATTCTAAACATACCCGCATTCTCCACAATTCTCCTAGAAAAGCAATGAGTGGGTTTGCATAGTTAAAGATGACACAAAATATAAAAGTTAAATGTAACTTATTTACATTGTAAAAATACATTTTTCATTAAAAGAATGAACATTATATTCCATCTGCTCATTGTAACACAAAAGTGGCACATAGGTTTTTCAAGAAGCGCTTTGCAACTCCCAGGTGGTACATCTACCATGTGATATAGCAGTTACTATAGTAACTGTTTCTTTTTATAGAATATATTTGTAATTTCCTAGTTAACCTCTTCATTGCTTCAAAATATCTCTTTCAGCTGATTCCAGCTGTTTCAAAATGAACGCCTCTAGTGGAGTGTAACTGAGAAGTATGGTATAAAGAGATTAATTAATTGTAAAGCAACTATTTTCCTTGGTAATAGTGAGGAAAAATCTATTTTGCACTTGTTTTATGCTACAAGAGACATGCAGAACTAGAGCATAAAAAGAGGCTCAAATAACTCAGAAATGTTTTGTTAGAAATATGTACAAGTCAGTAAGTGACAAATCTCACAGTCCTGACTCAGTCCTTCCTCAGGCAAAACACCAACTGAGAGTTCAGTGAACAACTAGTTTAAAAAAATAAAATAAAATAAAAATAATGACAGCCAGACCTGGCCCTCAGTAAGAACTTCAGCACTGCAAAGCTGGGCCAAATTGCAGATTTCCACTATCCACTAAAATTCCCCAAACTGTAAATAATTGTGGTCACAAGTGATATTAATTGTAGATGCTTGCAAATCTTTTTGTTAGACCTCTAAATGCGGTGAGATGTCAAACTCAGGCCCTTATGTCCTGTGTATGTCAGAATGTGTCAGGAAGATGTTAGTCTATTTTTTTGTTGCTATCTCATGATAAGAAGCTTGCCCAAGCACACTTACAGCATCATCCAACAGTTTTCCTGTGCTCTTTTTCCCTGGAGACTTTGTTGGGGAGGGTGAAGGAGACGGAAGAGGGGCTGAAAGTATTTCCTCTTGTTCAATCTCTTTCTCCAGCTTTATTAACCCAGGAGGTTCCACACCAAACCTTTTGAAAACAAGCAAACAAATTACCAGTGCTTACAAAGAATTTCATATCTTAACAGATCATGATGCATAAACTTCATACATACACAGCTGTGCAACCCAAAATTGCTAAACACACTAATGAAGGGATGAGTACATGATATATTATTGTAGCTGCTATCAGTATAATAAATATGCAGTGTGAAATTAAAATAGCATCTCTCATTTAATCAAATTTACAATAAATGGGCTTAGTCTTCAGCTTGTTGTTTGTTAGAGAAACATCTATAAATATGTGATATGGTATTTGGTATGTGATAGACACATCCCAAAATTGTTATGATATGAGAGTTCAGTTCAGAGAACATCTACTTCGCATTTCACCATCCCCTCAGACTTTTTCTAGGAATTATGAAAACTTAAATAGTTTTCATAATAAATCTATATGAGAAAAGATTAATCTGTTAAACCTGAGAATAACCCACCATAATAGGTATTATGGCCAGTTTACAGATGGGTAAATGGAGATAGATTCAGGCCAAATTTTTTCAAGAGTGGCCACTGATTTTATGCACCTCAATTTTTGGGAGCCCAACTTTGAAACTGTGGTGGGGTTTTTTTGTTTTGTTTTTTTTAAGAACTGCGCAGTACTCACTGTTCCAATTGAAGTGAATCCCTGAAAATCTTAAAGGGTCTCAAGTTTGGCACTCAAAAAATTGAGGCACCCAAAATCAGTGGTTACTTTTACAAGTTTGGTTGTAAGTTACTTGGCCAATGTCATATAACGAGTGAGTAGCAGAGTTGAGAACAGAATCCCAGAATCCTGATGCCCACTTCACAGAACTAACCACTGAACTACACCCCATGTTTTTCTTTTTCAACTGAACAAGAAAAGAAAATATATTTTTATGTGATAATTTCCTTTTAGTTAAAGACAACAATGCTAAATATAGGTATTCACATCAAACCAATTGTATAGTGAAAATACATATTGTATTGTGTAAAATAAAAACCTAGGACCAGATCCATAACTACGCTGATTCACACCAGCTGATGACCCAGCCACTAAAGTTCTGTACCAAAAATATACCAAGTATTAAAGACTAACATTATCATAGAACTTAAAGTCATATAGGCAAAGGGCGTAAGTGTATATATTGGCCCTTGCATTTTTCATTACAAATTACAAGCTAATCACACTGCTGCGTAGTAAGTTAATACCCAGAAAACTAAGAACCAAATCTGTGCTTGTATTGGCTGCTAACTGGTGCAGTCTGACTAACGAAAAGTCAGCCAACATTGGAGCGATCGCTTATATACAATCCATTTACTTCCTGTCTGTCTGCAGATGCTGACATGCTGTAAATCATTAAATTCCCCCTGGGCTCTAAGCCTACACCTGCATGAGGCCTTACTCATCAAATAAACCGTTCCCACTCGCATTAATGCTGCTTCTTTGCTTCTGCTGCTTTTCAGAATCTAACTCACCTCTAATTTCTATCATTACAATAGACAGTATATAATTATTATAGATAACTTTAACAAACTTCTTTCTACTAATCAGTTGAAATTAAATTTAAACATATATCCTCCATGTATTGCATCACAATCAAACAGCTTAATTAGAGGGTTGAATCGACAAAGAAATCCTTCTGCTTGTCTCACAGTGGCTTGCCATGCAAAAAAAGGTACAAGCCCTGTTCTGAGAACTATGTTGGGAATTTCCTTTTCTACTCCTTTCTAGCCTGTCTTCTGCATACTACAAATAGAGCAGCATCAGACTGTAAAATGATCTCCGATAGACTTTTAAGAGCACCACTTCCTATTTTTCCCAAGGAAAAATTAAGTACAATACCAGAAAGATATAACTTCTCAACAGACTATAATTTTCAAACAAAAGACATCTGGGGGCTGATTTACAAAAAAAAAAAAAAAAAAAAAAAAAAAAAGTTTTACAGCCACGTAAGAAGAATTCCAATTCTTTTTGTAGAACAGACAGTTTAGCTATTGCATGTCATACCACCAAAAAGCAGCACACAGATATATTTGCACCTAATTCGCATTCCAGAATGTAAGCATTCTTTAAGACATATTTACACACGTAGAGAGATTGATTTTGCTCTCTTTTATGTCAATTTTACCTCAGTGTAATTCCAACTATTTCACTGGAGCTACTCCTACTTTACAAGAGTGTGAAAATGAATCAGACCTGCACAATCCCATTGATTGCAATGGAACTGGATAGCTTAAGTCAGTACTGCATTTTACCCCATAGGATTCATCCATCTTTCACAAGGACTATCAATCCACTCATGTGGGATCAGTCAGTACAGAATTTGGCTCATTGTATTAATTTTAATGAAAAGTCTGTGAGTCTTATACACTCTACTCATATTTCCTGCTTTAATTTCCATCACATGGACAAAAGAGCAAAATCAGGAAAGTTATTGATTGGGCCAGTAGCTGATTAGCAATTGTTTACATGCAGAACAAGATTTTAATTTCTGATAATGGGCTGACTCTCTGTCTAACACTGTCCCTGATGTTGCACTTCTTACTCTCATGAGTATACTTCAACTGGAACTACTCACATGAGCAAAGACCGCAAGATCGGGACCACAGATTACTACAGCAGGCTCAGGACCTGAAGGTCTGTACAGAGCCTGAAATACAAATAAACTCTTCACTAATGAAAGGCCAACCCACTGTCAAGAGGGTGTTTATTTATTTATTTATTTATTTATTTAGATGATTTCCTCAAAAAATTTACCATTTCTGAAATTTCCCATTCAGACATTTAAGTGAAAGCTCCAGTAGTAACTTGCAATAGTTTCTCTCTTTGCTAGATCATGTATTCAGTACAAATGGTGACAAAGCTCAATCAAGTCAGGCTGCTCCATCTCTCTGCTAAGTGGGCATACAGTATCAGCCCAACTCTCTGAATGGTTACAGAAGCTGGGCACAAATCACTAAGGAAAACATGCTGAAAACTATTTAGATGGTTTGCTAATAATGAAGGCTTCCATAATGTATGGTGAGTTATCTGGTAGCATCTACACAGTGACATGTACCTGATAGTGATGTGCAAACTAGAAGAGGACAGATTGTGCCTACCTCTTGTCTGGAAAAGGCTGACTTTGCTCTGCCCTCATTGTAGGCTACCAAGACACAACATGGCCCAATGTTTAGGTTCTGTTTTGATAAGAAACCAAAAAAGTCAGGCAGTTTAACGGCTATCTCCCCCTGATTAGGACCTGCTTCTCTTATCAGTAATACAGATATAAAGTAGTGTAGCACCATTGAAGTCAATGGAGTTACACTGATGTAAGCAAAAGGGGAATCAGACCCTTGATCAGCAAAATAAGTAATCTGAAAATCTCCTGAGAAACTCCCTCAGACAAATTCAGCTGTCAATTATGGTCTGGAGTAATTCCACTGATGTCAATAGTTACTCTAAATTTACACCTGTTTAAATGAAATCAGATTTTTTTTCTCTCTGTTTCCTCTACATTCCAGTTACAGCTGAAAAAAAAAGTCTCCAGTCTTTACAGAACCTTAAAAGGTTTGTTTCTAGAAAGAATGCCAGTTTAATAGGGTGAGGGGAAGGTTTTGGTTTCCCCCACAAAAAAACCATCTGTACTATCTATCACTCAGTAAAGGCTGATCCAACTCCCATTCAAATCAGTGGAAAGACCCATTAGTCAGTGGCTTGACTAGGAGTTCAATCAGGCCCTAAACACTGAAATCTGAGAAAATAATTTTTGAGGATTTACTGGTGAATGGATGATCTCTCCAAACACCTCCTTGTACTTAGTTCGATCTTCAGGGTGAACAGAGCTTTAAAAAGCAAGAAAGGTGTCTGTTTAACATCTTATTGTTCCTCCTGGGTAATTTAAAGCAATAGCTATTGGAGAGATCGGTTTATTGAAATGCTTTCTTCTTTGTTAAATCCAGCCAACATACAAAACACAGAGTCTATTCAAATCACTCGTCTCCCACGTAGCTCAGATTTTAGCACACTTAAAGCAAGAACGCCATTAGATACTTGTCATTTAAATGACATAACCCTGTTATGTTACCCCTTCCAGCATTTCCTGTGCATTTTGAAAACTTACTAGGCTGTGGAGAGTTTGCAAATCCTATATTGGGATAGGATTTTTTTAGGGGGGAGGAAAAGGAATAAGTCAAAATGGGAAGAAGGTGTTGCCTGTTACTCTGCTCCCAGGTTGGTTAAAATATGAGCCATATGTGAAAGGGAAGGGGCTTGGAAGGCTTTGTGTGCTAAGGTAGCCCCACCTTTCCAGCCCTGGCAATCATGCATAGTAGGGAGCAGGGCTTTAAAAAGGAAGATGCTTCAGTCAGCAAGGGAGGAAGCCCTGAGAAAGGAGTGGCTCCTGTGTAGCAGGAGTAACCATCATGCAAGAAACTCCCCCAGCTCTGTGAGGAGTCCCTGGGGCAACCCTGATAGGAAAAGACTGACTTGGCTACCCAGCTGTAAGGACTCCAACAAAGTAAGTACCCCTGAAGTAAGGTGGTGCCACAAACATTTTTGCTTTTTTATTAATCCGAGGCGGGGCCTTATTTTGTGTTGAATCTGAACTTTTGTTTTCCCCCCACCTAGAAACAAAGCAAGCAGGCCCACAAGGTGGGGTCCACTGCAAGGATTAGGAGGCTGTGGCCTGTACTAGGCCAACCTATGGTGACAACTGGGCGTGCTGAGGGGCCCCAGCCCAGCTAGGGCTGTGCCCCAGAGAGAGACTTTCTTTACACCATATCTTGATCGATTTTTTTTTTTTTTTTTTTTAAATTCCCATTGACTTCATGGGATGATGAAATGAAGAGTATTTTTTATAAACCCAAAAAAACGGGCATGGTCTATTTAAAAAAAAAAAAAAGCGAAGTTGTGCTTAATAAGTGATAGCACGATATGGCTTGGAATTGTTTTTACACCTAAGGGATACACTGCTATGAAAGAGTACAAATGGGAAAACCCAGGATATTCAAACTTAAGTTAAAGAAGTCAAGTGCAGCTGGCAAAATTCTATATTCGTTCCCATGCAATCCCCATTGGAATGGGGTTGCCTGGGAGTGAGGGAACAATTTAGTGAAGTTGCTTTTCAAGATATTAATGAATTTAAAGCAAACTTTTTCTTAAAAACAAAGAATGATACCTTGTTGAGTTATAATGCCCTAGGACTAGCTTGTGACATCCTTACTAACATTGAAAATACCTTACTCCATAAGTAGCCCCTTTGATTTCATGTAAGGGACTACAAGTTCACTGTGACTATGTAACGATATCACAATCTGACCTCTACGAATAAAGCATAGACAGAATCTAGCAAGAGCAATAGTTGTCTTAGTAGCAGAGATTCAATCTCTGAGCTTGATTCTTATCTTGCACCAGTCTAAATCAGGAGTAACTCCACTGAAGTCAATGAGGTTACAGCCAGAGTAAATGAAATCAGATCTAGGCTATCTGAAGGCAGATTCTACTACCACTGAGGTCAGTGGGAAAATGTTCATTGACCTCAGTGGGATCAGGGTTATATGCTAATATAGAAGATTTAGAGAGAAAATAGTTTCGATTAGTTACAGAGACAACATGATTATAAGGAGTAAGAATTGAACAACTTTATTTAGAAAAATCCTGTTCTAATTTTAAACTTCTTTTCATATCAGTTTCCCCCTTGCAATATGAAGACAGCAGAAAAATCTTATTGCTATATTAAGGGAGATTTGATTATATTCTTTGAACAACTGCCCACAAGATATTCTTGTGTAACTATCAGTGGGTGTTTGCCTTGACCCTGGCCAGTGTAAATGTTAACATGAAGATGCACTGAGTTAGTAAGTCTCTCAGTAGCCACTGCTGTCAAAATATAAATATTTTTTAATTCTCTAAATATTTTCACCTACCTGGCTGCAATCCTTCCAAGTTCCAGCAAACAAAGGCACACTTCTCTGGGCTGCTTGTGGAGGACTGCAAAGGCAAAATGAAGATAGAAAATATTTACAATAAAGGGTATTTTAAGGGTTTCAGTAATAAACAGATCCCAGCTTACTAATGGCTGTCAATAGCATGTTAGTCCTGAATGCCTCTTTTAGGCAAAACTGCCATTGGCTTCCAAAATATTTTTGCCTGAATAAAGAGTTCAGGATTAAGACCCAAGATGTAGCATTTCCAAAGGAGCTTCCAACTCCCACTGAATTTCCCTTAGGGTCCTTTGAAAATCCCAGCCTAGATCACCAAAGCTTGGTTTATACAATTTGGTATAATACAGCCTACCTATCGCCATTATACATTAAATGGAGGGCTCCTAAAGAACATTAAAAACTAATGAAATGTCAAAGGGTTCTGGATCACTTTTTATAAACTAAAAAGATGTATTCCGTAGGAAACTGTTTTTCTTCCTCTGCATAAATGAGCAAATATTAAAATTATATTAGTGAAGACAAATCCTTCTATAAACTTGATCCTGTATTACTTGTGCACTCAAGCACTCCCTCTGAATACAATGTGCGTTTAGGGTAATCAAGGAAGTCACTCAGCTCTTGAAAAGAAAGCTACTTATTTGTAAATCTTGTTCTCTGAAGATATGCATCTATGCAAGTTGCCATGCTTGGGTCCAGTGCAAGACCTGGGGGAGTAGGGGGGAGTTCCCATAGCTTTTAAGCTTTGGAGGCAGCTGCAGTACCTCATGGACCACTCAGTCAGGTACTTTTGGAAGCACCATCATGTTCCAATATCAATTCCTTTAAAAACTTGGAGACGGTAACTCCCCCCTGCCCCCAAAGAGACCCAGTAAAAGGAAAAATAAGGAAAAATATACAAAAAATCTGAGGAGAGGAGTGTGGGTGATGAGCAATCCATTTGGAAGTATAGCTTCAGAGGATAAGAATTATAGGTACCTTGTTTTCTTTTCTCCAGAGATACCTGTCTTAGTGGAATCCTGCTCTTGGGGATAAATTCAGACCTTGGTGTAAATGGACAAGTTTCCCCTTGTTTAATGGAATATTTGCCTTCTTACTCCAGGGCTCAATTTGGCACCTGAAGAATAAATGAATCCTGAACCAGAAGACCAGTGGCAGAGAAATCGGTCTACCTCGGTTGTGTTCATGAGAGCTTAGATAGCTGTTATATGAACATTTAGGGAATGTGCTGACTCATTTGACTTAGCCAGGTGAAAAACACCTACCAATAGGTGCCTCAGAGGCTAAAAATTTTAAGTCAAGGAAGTTTTCATCGTCTCCTACATGCTGTACACAGGGACCTCTGAGTGGGAACTGCTGAGATAGATATCTCTGAATATAATTAATACAAAGTTGGACAGATCCTCAGATGGTGTAAATTGGTATAGCTCTATTGATATCAATGGAACTTTGACAATTTACTCAGCTGAGGATCTGTCCCAATGACTTTTGGGATTGTATATTCAGCAATACTTTGAAAAAATATATATGCATTTCCCCCCTAGAATCTGAACCAAAAATATTTCCAGAAGGAAAACTGCATAGCAGAAAAATAAAGTGGCAAGGCATTGGGAATAGAATTTCCATTCTACTGCCATCTGTTATTAGACATATCAGAGATGTAAAAAAAGACCTGGACACTCCATCCTTCCTAATATTCTTCCTTGCCATAAACTAATTCATGGATGGAAGACTTAATCTTACTGAGAAACCAATATGTTAAATAAAAAAAAAAAAAAAAAGTACACCGATGGCCCAGGCATACATTCTACTGCTTCCACCTGAAAACTGTTTCAACACAATCAATATATTAAATGTATCATAATGCTAAGAAATATATAAATATACAGCAAGAACACACTGGATAAACCAGTTCTAGAAATATCTTGGTGGAGTATAGGGGGCAAATATTTTTGACCTCTACTTTACATCTGCAAACATCTGATGTAAGGCTGGGCAGGGGGGAGTGCATTTTGGGTGGAAGTATTTGTAAACATAAGAAGAGGGTTTGAATGAAGGACAAAGTCTCTGCCAATGCTCAAACTTCTACTTCTTAAATGAAAACAATGTGCTCCAGTGAATCTGACCCACAATGCTCCAGACACATTTCATGCATTTCACAATGAACAATGTGAAAGAGTGAAATCATTGTTAGAGCATGACAAGCTGTGCAGGCAATAACCAACCATAAAAACAAACATCTGTTGATGTGATAAGAATATGGTGATACAGTATTTCTAACAGCAAAATGTTAGCATTCCTAAGGACTATACCAGCAGGCACGTTCATGAACTTCAGGCGAAAACAAAGGCCATTCTGTATAGAATACAGTACCCACTGGAAATAGTTTAGATTCTCAAAATAGAATTCTTATATTTTTTACAACTAGTGCTTTTAAATGGACTATTAGCTAACAAAGCAATGTGGTCAGGATTTAAGGCAAAGTTCTGAAAGTCAGAAGACATGGGTTCCATTCCTACCTCTGTTACAGACCTCTTATGTGAACTTGAGAGTCTCTAAAGCCAAAATTTGCAGAAGTGAGCAATGATTGTGGGTGCCTTTTTTAGATATTCAATTTGAGATGCCTTCTGTCTCAAACTGGAGGTACTCAATATTAGTATCCACTTTTTGAAAGGTGGCTGCTACTCTACACATTTTCCCTCTGCAAAATGGGGGGAACAAAACCTCCTTTTCTCACAGAAGTGCTGGGAGGCTAAATTCAGTGTTTGTAAAGTGCTTTAAGATCTTTGATGGAAGGTGTGATAGAAGGTGTGGAAATCTTCTAAACTTTTTATGCCAGTGTGACTTTCATTTATGTTATCCTTTGACAATGATGTAAGCAGGTATTTCAGAGTGTAAATCTGGAACTGAACAGGAAAACCTGTGACTGTCTTTGTGATTTTGAGGAAAATGCCCATGCATTGTCTGCACTGGAGCAAGGTAGGAATCCTGTTTAATGTGTCTGCGTTCAAGGGTTAAAAAGCAGTTCCTTGATACCAGTACATACATATATTCAGTAACAAGTAATACAGTTCATGGATTAGAGGAAATTCCTCTTTGGAGTGAGCGATTACAGACTCAGATGGAAATCTTACATCTGTACCTGTGGTATGCTGTTGCTTCCTGTGGGAACTGTATTCATAATTTTCTGAATTACTTACTGGAATCTAACTTAATGTATGTTTCTAAATTATTACCAGTACCTCAACTTTCTGACCTGAAAGGTTACCTGATCCTTCAAACACTGAGTGGCAAATACAAGTTTGCTAAATACCAGATTTATTGTAATTGTAGCAATAGCCATTCATCTTGATAAAGAAAGCATCATAAGGAACAAAATAAGACTCAATGGGCCAAAATAATTCATGTTATAACTCGACTGATGTCTATAGAGTTACACCAGGGATGAGTGTGGTCCCTTATGTCTTCATTTAGGGGAAACTTCTCTTCTCATTTACAACCCAGGTCAATGTACTAGATGGATAGATGTAAAAAAGGAGACATTTGTATTTTCCTGCCAACAATTCACTCTGTCCTTAAGAAGTGCATCATTTAGCATATGTAGATTCTTTAATTATATAGTTTATATGGCAGTTTAATCCCTCTCAAGCAGTTTGAATAAAAATATACATTTGTGATTCATCTGTTCTGATACCTAAGTTTCCTCCCTTGTGTTTGATGTTCATTTTCTTATCACATATATTCAATGCATTTCTAATAATAATTTCAAGACAATATTATTAAACGAGCACTAACACACTTTGAATTATCACATACATGTAACATTTATGACATCCAAAAACCTACATTAAAAACTGTTAAGGTTGCAAAATCAAGCACTCCATAGTCAGAAAAAGACAGAAATAAGGCTGCCTATGCAAACTTAATTTGACCCCCTTGTGCATTGGCATATGCCAAAGGCTTTAATTTACATGATCACATACTACTTTTTCCACCGGATCTCTGACTCATTCAGTGCACAGGATGGATGGTATTGTCCATTTACAAAAAAAATCCTCATCATTCAGTGTGTGGCCGCATGCATTATTCACTGCACACTATCCAAACCCTGCACTGAATACAGAATTACTAGTTTCCTTCTAGGCTTTCCTGTGGTGTTGTCATCTTAGTGTTTTACAACATTAATGAATTTATCTTCACAACACCCATGTAAGGTAAGGTGGTATTATTATCCCCATTTTATACATGGAAATGGAGCCATAGAATTAAAGCCAAACTTGTCAACTAATTTGGGATGCCCTATATGAGATAATTAGGGTCTTATGTTTCAGAGTATGTAGCATTTCCTAGCACCCATTGCCCTCTGATACAGTTGTGAGTGCTCAACACTTCCACAGATCAGACCCCAGTGTTTCAAGTCAGGCACCCAGAAAATGAAGAATACGCAATCAGCAACCACACCTGTGAAAATTTTGGTTTAAGTGATTTTCCCAGCAGCACACAGGAACTCTGTTCTCCAGGGTGCCATTCAACTGCTTTAGCCATTAGTCTGTCCTTTCTCTTCCTACAATCCCCTTATTCATTCAGAACACACCTTCCAACTTCTGCAATAAATGAGGCTTTGGCCCTACAGCCTCCTTCACTACACAAGGCTGATTTGTTCCCAGAATACAAACCGTCCTGGGCACTGAATGAGGGAGTGGTCCTGTAGAAAAAAAAAAAATGGTATCTGAACATGTAATTAAAGACTGTCATAAAGCATATGTTCACGAGGGCTGAATTAAGGTTACAAGGGCAGCCTTAATTTGAGCATTTTCTTAATTCTGAGTGCTTGACTTTCCAACCTTAATGTTCAATTAATGTAGGTTTTTGGGATGCAATTTCCTAACTTTTTTTTAAAAAATGTAAATATAGAAAAAACAATTTCATCTTGTGAAACCATATTGCCCCTCCCCTCTCCCATATGGGTCATCAGCAGGATGGGGATCTTTAGATCCACCGGACACCACTTGAGCAAAGGGAATAACTGGTAATAGTAGAAGGTTGTTA